CTTCATCACCCCCGATCCTGCCCCCATTCCCCCGTTTTATAGGCTTAAAATTGATTTTTTTTTTTGCTAAAAAATGCAATATTTTGGGCTAAAAAACTACTTTTCATAACTTTAAAAGCTTAAAATCAAGTTTTTTAGCAAACTAAAAAATTAAAAATCCAACATTACACATCCAACATTACAAAATGACAAATCCAACAAACTTATAAATATAAAATACGACAAATCTAACATTAAAAAAAATCATGTCGTTTAATTGTACATCTGACTAAATATGCTGACTGATGCAAAATGATCATTTTATCATGATGCTCTATACGTTTCTATGTGTTATACATTATGTAAAATGTTTGAGCAAATATATCACAAAAGAACTTCCACCTTAATGGTAAGGATGTTGGCTTGTGAGTATGAGGTGATGGGTTTGATTCCAATTACCCATTTTCCTCTTCCGGATTTTTATAACCCAAGGGTAAGATTGGAAAGCCTTTTCTTCTTTTCTCAATAAGCTAACTCCCAACTTCTTTCTCAGTCAAATCTTGTTGACCGCGTCATACGCCCAAATTTTGTTTATCAAACACCTTCAGCTGATCGAGTCAGCCTGACTCAGTCAGATGCATATCAAAGAGGGCCTAAAATACATCTCATAAGTTTATTGTGTCTTGGAGTTGCATAATCTAAGTTAGACACTTCCTGGACTCTATTTTAATATTGTATAAGCTAATAAACATTTTTATAAAATAAAATAAAAAAGAAGTATAAGGTGCTTAAAATAATAATATCTTGTAGGGGTAACAAAGTTTTGCAACCGAATACATTTACTCGATTTTTTTTAACATGTTTAACTAATAAACTTACATAATTTCTTCAAAAAATAACCAACTTTGACGAGCAATAAACTTATAAGTATAACCAACTTTTGAAGTTGTACATATTTAGCCGCTTTCTATTTTTGTGTATAACTCACCAATAAACTTAAGTCAAACACCAAATTTAACTAGTTTCAAATGTCTATAAAGACATTGATTTGCACAACCTGTTACCAACTTCATTTATTTTTAATTCTGTTATAAATTTAGCCCAAACTTTTTTTTAACTTTTTTTACATTTCTTTTATAACTTCTTTACAACTATTTTCCAATGTCCTCTTACATACTTGTACCAACCCTATTAAAAAAAGTTTTGAAAATAACTTACATTTAGCAAACTTCTTTGTGTGTACCAACTGTATTTACTTGTTTTTCGTAACATCTATTATTTCAAAAGATTTAGATATTTTAGGAGATGAGTAGGTATTTGCTATTAGCAAAATACAATTGAGGAAAGTTGTAGATCTTCCATCGACAATTATGTGGATATAAAGATCGTCGAAAGCGGAGTTTGTATGAGATAATTATTGGCGTTTGTATTTGAGATGAAAGTATGTTGTTATTTTGAGAAAGTCAACGGAAGTCAAAGTCAAACGTTCAATTCTTCGATCACCACGGCGTGATGGTATGCTCGCCACATCGTGGTATGACATGAATCATCGAGAGACGTGTCCAACGTTAAAGGACACATGGCAGAAGGAGGTGATATGTGTCGCTGAGAGGCCGAGTTCTATCTCAGATGTTCCAGTTGTGTGTGAATTCCCGAATGTATTCCCCGAGGAGTTACCGGGTGTGCCTCCCGAGAGGCAGGTGGAGTTCCGGATCGATTTGATTCCGGGTGCGGCGCATATTGCCAAGGCACCTTATCGCCTTGTGCCGCCCGAGATGCAGGAGTTATCCTCGCAGCTCCAAGAGTTGTTGGGGAAGGGTTTTATTAGACCGAGTAGCTCACCGTGGGGAGTGCCGATCCTTTTTGTCAAGAAAAAGGATGGTTCACATCGGATGTGCATCGACTACCGGGAGTTGAACAAGCTGACGGTCAAGAACCGTTATCCACTACCGAGGATCAACGATTTATTTGATCGGTTGAAGGGGGCATCTTGGTTTTCCAATATTGATTTGAGATATGGGTCTCAGCAGATGAGAGTTTGCGAGGAAGATATCCAGAAGACGGCCTTTAGGACTCGTTATGGGTACTACGAGTTTGTGGTGATGCCCTTCGGACTCACCAACGCACCAGCAACGTTCATGGATCTCATGAACCGGGTGTGCAGGCCCATGTTGGACAGGTCGGTGATTGTGTTATCGACGACATTTTGGTATACTCGAGGTCCAGAGAACAACACGAGGAGCATCTTCGGGAGATTTTTGGAGTATTAAGGACGGAGAGGCTTTATGCCAAATTCTCCAAGTGTGAAATCTGGTTATGAGAGGTCCAGTTCTTAAGACAACTCGTTAACCAGAATGGGATTTTGGTCAACCCGGCCAAGATTGAGGCAGTTATGCGATGGGAGGTGCCGAGGTTCCCATCCGAGATCAGGAGTTTTTTTGGCCTGGCAGGCTACTGCCGGAGATTTGTCAGGGATTTCTCCAAGATTGTCGTTCCTCTTACCGGATTGACCAGGAAGGGTGTTACTTTTGCTTGGGGGCCCGAGCAGCAGGCCTCATTCGAGACTCTTCGCCAGAGATTGTGCGAAGCTCCAGTGTTAGCCCTTCCCGAGGGAGTGGAGGACTTCGTAGTTTACTATGATGCGTCTATATCAGGGATGGGTGCGATGTTGATGCAGAGGGGGCACATGATAGCATATGCATCGAGGCAGTTGAAGCCTCATGAGACGAGGTATCCCACCCACGATTTGGAGTTGGGGGCGGTGGTGTTCACCCTCAAGATTTGGCGCCACTACCTTTATGGTGTTCGGTGTACCATCTACACGGACCATAAGAGCATGAAGTACCTTATGGATCAGCCCAACCTGAATATGAAAAGGAGGAGATTGTTGGATGTAGTGAAAGATACGATTGTGAGATTTTATATCACCTTGGCAAGACTAATGTGGTAGCCGATGCCCTGAGTCGCAGAGCAGTGAGTGCTCTGATCCGAGACGTGTGCATGAGGACTCCTGTCTTAGATACCATCCGAGAGGCCCAGGTGGTGGCCGTGAGACCACAAAACCGTAAGAGAGAGCGGGTGATCAGGCAGATTTCTGAGTTTGGGACAGATAGTCGGGGGCTTATGACCTTCCGTGGGCGGATATGGGTACCATATACGGGTGGAGCTCGACGTATTTTGATGGAGGAGGCCCATAGGTCGAGATTCTTGATCCACCCGGGAGCCACCAAGATGTATTTGTACTTGAAAATGGATTATTGGTGGCCCTGTATGAGGAGAGATGTGGCATGGGTAATCGAGAGATGCTTGACCTGTTGTCAGGTCAAGGCGGAGCACCAGCGTCCACTTGGCCCGTTGCAGCCTTTAGAGATTCCTCAGTGGAAGTGGGAACAAATTTCCATGGATTTTTATCACCAAATTACCGAGGACCGCGTTGTTGGGTTTTGAGCATTCTAACACTCCTATGGTGTACATGCAACCCTAAATACCTTGGATCTATGTTTTCTCTATTATACATGCAAATATCAATTTTCCAAGGTATTGTTCTAACTAGCATAATATAAAGTTCACATAATATAAATTCTAGTAGAATTACATACCTCTTGTTTGGTGCTTGATTCCATGGAGCTCAAAAGCCTAGTGCCCCAAGTGTGACACCTCAAATGGTTCACACAACATCATATGCACTTGGAATAACTTAGA